GCTTAAAACTGTTACGTGTGATAAAATATGAAGTAATTTGAAAAGATAAGTGTTTATATATATACTCTATCTAAAATCCTTACTAACTGAAATACATGACTTCAGCATGTAGACCCGATTGTAAAGGACATGCACATATGAAAATGAAAAAAAGGAAGAGATGGAATTAGGTTCAAAACAAAATTTCTCCTAAAAATTGGTATATATTCATAGAAGTTACATGAAAGGTAGATAGAAAGGTTCAGAGAATAATTGTTGTATTTTATATATTATAGCATAGTCTTAGAAATTTTGGTAACATCAGGTTGTATTACAATTATGCGGTGTAAATGATTCGTCAAAAACTTAAATTAGGTAAAATAATAGGTAACGCGTAATGAAAGTATTTCCTGGTTTTTTCTGGTATTTCACCACATTTTCAACATAAGAAGAATCATGCTACATACACACACATATATGTATATATTTACAGTAAATTAGATATGCTATTTCTTTCCTTAATTCCTCAACTAGACCCACTTGTCTTAATAGTAAGTCAACGCTTCACATTATATAGCTTAGTTGTTAAGTAGCTGTAAGAATAATCCGATCGGTTAGTTAAGAAAGAACTGTCATTCAGCCAAGCTTGATGTATACATACACATGTGTGTTCTTACACTAGCCAAATAACTTGAAAAATAGTAATAATATTTCAGTTTAGATTTGACAATTTCAAGACCGTCCCTAGGTAGATCAGATGGGTCATTATTTATTTATTAAGTAACTAACTAACAATTCAAGCTTTCACATTTCGTGAAGTTAAATGTCATAAATAAACATAAATGTGCTGTTTCCAAAGTAATGAAAATCAAGGAAGCTCAGCGTTTTTATTTTTGAATCATACGTGTGTATATTATCATACATTACGTATTAAACAACAGCGTCGTTGTGTAATGAATTGTTTTGTCTTCCATTTCTTAAATTGCACATCGCATGATATAAAAACGTTGTTTTACAGTTTGTGCCTTGTTGAGTAGGGGAAGATGTAAGATATGATTTATGGTAAAGGAACATTAAATTGAATTGGATGCCACTTTGGCAGAAAACATAATAATGTACATTTTCGTTTCTACGTTCCTTAAAAAACAGATACACTTTCGTTTCTTAACAAATATGTACGCTTTCATTACTACGAAGGAACGTAGGAGCAAAAGTGTACATATTTCTTAAGGAACGTAGTAACGAAGGTGTACATATTTCTTAAGGAACGTAGGAGCACAAGTGTACATATTTCTTAAGGAACGTAGTAACGAAGGTGTACATATTTCTTAAGGAAAAGAAATATGTACACTTGTGCTCCTACGTTCCTTAAGAAATATGTACACCATCATTACTACGTTCTTTTAGAAAATATTCATGCATCGTTAACCATTAAAGAATCAGAAAATGTTTCCAGTGACATTTTTTGATTTTTTGTTGTTAAGCATAAACCTGCACAATGGACTATCTATGTTCTGCCCACCGCGGGTATCGTATTTAGTGTTATAAGGCCTCAGACTTATCTCTGTGGTTCTATACCCCATGTGGAAACAGCATATATCCTAATGTAGCTTTGCTTTAAAACAAACAGATAAGCTTTCCTCTTAGCCACCGGGCAGGGGTCTCCAGTGAAAGAAGAATACTAAACAAATACATAGAAATATGAATGACAAACCGAAAGTGGTTGTTTCTGAGTTAATGAGAACAAGACAAGATTTAGAAAATCAGGAAATTAATCTATGAGAACAATACAAGATTTAGAAAATTAGGAAATCGATATGTGATAACAATACAAGATTTAGAAAATTAGGAAATCGATATGTGATAACAATATAAGATTTAGAAAATTAGGAAATCGATATGTGATAACAATACAAGATTTAGAAAATCAGGAAATTACTCTATGAGAACAAGACAAGATTTAGAAAATCAGGAAATCGATATGTGATGACAATACAAGATTTAGAAAATTAGGAAATCGATCTTTGAGAACAAGACAAGACTTAGAAAATTAGAAAATCGATCTGTGAGAACAATAAAAGTATTAGAAAATTAGGAAATCGATCTCTAAGAACAAGACAAGATTTAGAAAATTAAGAAATCGATATGTGATAACAATACGAGAATTAGAAAATTAGGAAATCGATCTCTGAGAACAATACAAGAAATAGAAAATTAGGAAATCGATCTCTGAGAAAAATACAAGAATTAGAAAATTAGGAAATCGATCTGTGAGAACAATACAAGAATTAGAAAATTAGGAAATCGATCTGTGAGAACAATACAAGATTATATTATAAGATCGAACGTTGCATACATATAGTTTTCCATATCTTATAAAAATAATCGAAACTTTCATATCATAATAGCCTGATTTTCACATCTGGTTTTAAACCTAGTTCATTTTGCTAAGAGAGTTTGATGAACAACGAAATAGTTGTTTTGTTTATAACAATACGTTCCTACTTAAGTGTATATTACAATTTCTTTACAAAATTCAGCATGTTCCTTAAACAAAAAACACGAAGGATTAGGTATGAAAGTTTGAATTCTGAAAAAAAACAACGTATAAACCAGTTAATGATCATTATCATGTCGTCATCACATTAACAAGAACAGAGACTGAGCTCACTTCATGAACTGACATTTATATAACCTTCATAGTTTAGTTCTGAAACTTTATATGTTTCCGCTCGAAAATATACGAGGTTATAAAACGACACCAAAACTATCTTGTTGTTGTTGTTGTCGTGCGTTTGGCTGGAATTGTTTGTCTGCCTTGTTTTCATGTAATAATGGAAATATGATACAGCTTGGAAATCAGAGTCAAGAAACACAAATAGAAGGAATAACCTAACCTCTGTTTTGACAGACGTAGTCGGAACACAAAGCTAAGTCAGATTATTTGTACTTTGTTTTAAGTGGAACCAAATTCCAGCCTCGGTGTTTAAGTTTTCCGAACATAACTCATGTTTACCAATGTGTCTGTTATGTCTCTCTCTTTTTTTTTCACCATAGGTATCGTCGGCTACGAACGCCAGCTAATAGATTGCTAGGCAACCTTGCCGTTAGTGATTTATTGATGTCTTGTCTTCATCCCATGGCGAGCTTTTCCTCATTTCGACATAGCTGGCAGTTTGGTAAGTTAGGTAAGTGAATTTCTCAAACCATTTCATATCCGAAGTCTATGACAATATGTCATTTCATTCAAGAAACTAACGTAAATCCTATTAGAATTAACGTTGGAAAGACGACTCTTTTTTTTTTTTTTTTTTTTTTTTAGCAATCAGTATTTCAGTATCTCCTGTTTCAAACGTTTGCATTTCGGAGTGTATTTTAGGTGGTCAGTTTCAAGACTTATGCATTTCTAAAGCCACTATAAACACTGTTAGCTGCAAGAAATGCTTCTGGCCTCTATCAAAAGTAACATTCAGTTCATTTGTCGATAAGAAAACAAAACAAATAACACACATCTTACTCTTAAAAATAGATCAAGAAAAAAACCAAACAACTAGTCTAAATAGTTTAAAGCTTTTTTGCCCGAAACAGATAAACAAAACTGAAACAGAAGATGACCAAAACATGTTTTGTTGTTTTTCTTTCTCAGAATACCTATAACTTATCTTCTCTGAAACCATAGACTGTATTTTTTTATAACTCGTTTTTCATGTTCCCAATTTTTTTAAGCGGCTGGCTCTTTAGTAATTTCTAAACTACCAATTCATTTATGGCCAATTTGTTTATCTGATTTTGTTTAATAGCATTTAAGGAACTATTTCAAATTAGTTTATTTTGTGTGCGTAAGAATTTCTGTGCAATTCGCTTCTGGGATCAATGATAAGAAATTTTCATTCTCTGTAGTTCTGTCTCTCCAAGAAATCTCTATTCTAGCTTAGTATGATTTTGTCTGGTTACAAATTCTACTTTAGGAAGTCGAATTTAAGACTTACTTCTAAGATAAATTAGCAAATCTCAAGTTTCTGTGTGCTATTTTAACAACAAATATTCTATTTTTCAAATCTACTTGTAGATCCTTGATGAAAGATGGTTTTGAAATAGAACCCTCTTCTGATCTATTAGCACCGTGCTTGCATTATACTTCTTAATCATAAGCACCTCATCAATTGATAAGTACAAAAGTATTTGCAAAATATTTATCTTTGAAATATCTTTGAATTCAGTTTTCACCAATTATAACGAATTTTATAAAAAGCAAAATGTTTTAAAAAAATGCTATTTTGTTATAAATATTGTTTCTAGATAAAGCAAAGATTGGACAAAGATTTGTTTCTAGATATTGAAGTAGGGAGGAGTTTATCCCACAAAGTTGGGTAAACTGACCGCCATCTACTCATAATAACTGCACTTAAATCATCATTTAAAAGCTCCCTTTAAGGATTAGGAAGAGGGTGTGGCATGCACAAGTCACGCATTATTTTAGGACAATGACAATATTAATAAATACTAGTGTAGGGCAATGGCATCAATTACGGTTGAAGTTATTTGTGTGTGATACGGTATTGGGTAGGTAGATGGGGGGTCATCTTATACGCCACTTATCGTAAAGCAATCGCATATTATAAAAAAATCGTTGAACTCGAACTGTGTTTTTTTTTTACGGTGTATTAACCTGTGTATAATTCCTCGTTGTTTGAAATCAACAAAGCGAAATTTCCTGAAGTATTTTCTTTGTAACCATAAAAAATTCAAAGTACTTACCTTAGATCAAAGTTGTTAAAAACAAACAAATATAAAATTGAACGAGTTGCTTTGGTCAATCACATTTGCGTCCGTCCATCATTTTGCTTATGCCTGAAGTAGCATGAACAAAATTTACATATAATTCACCTTAGATGGCAGCACATTATATATGATTATAATCAGGGTGGTCGTTTTACTTTACTTGTATCATTAAATTCACATGAATATATAGGATTTCTTTCAAACTATAAAACGATTAAATTGATTTAGGAAGACTATTAAGAGGTCACATTTAAAGTCCATACAAGATTTTTTTTTATTTTCTAAGTAACAGTGAATGTTTCCGATAGCTCGAATAATTTTTTTTTCAGAAAATAGTAGGATTGAGTATAAACACTTTTGGCAATTCTGCTAAAATTTCTTATATAATACGAAAATAGAATTGGAGTTTTCCAACCTGAACGGCAACTTGTACGCACGTGGGCCAGGTCAGAAACCCCTACGGTGTAGGTATAGCCGTCAGTAGTTTTGAACTACTGATCAGAGAGGGGGGAGGGGAGAGCCAGCAATGCCCACTACGAAAGAAATTGTTCCATATTTTTGAACAGAATAACGAGACTGACTGCTGCTTTTGTAATGGATCCATACTTCTAACTGCAGAGCGGCGGTCCGCAGCCCGACAAAGATATCATTACGCTGTGCAAGTTTGTCTGAAGTTCTTTGTTGTTCTTTGCTTGCTTCATTTTTTTTTCACCTCCAATACAATAAACTTCATTTAAAAGTTTCTTAGTTGAGAATAAATTATTCTTTTTGTAAGAAATTTAAACTTATAATATAATAGTTGCATAATTATATAATGTCGAAAAGCTTACATTAACCAGAAATAACAAATATATTTTTAAACTAACATTTTATTATATTCTGGTATATATATATATATATATATACATACATATATACATATAATCTATATAAAAGCTTTAAATAGTAAGGTTGAATATATTATTTTACATTTCCGATAATGCCTCAGGCTAGAGAAACAAGCAAATAACATAACTGATTTACTTTGTTTTGCAAGCTTCATATTTTGCCAATTATATAAGGTCTGAGGTTGTGTATAAACTCATTTCATTTTCTTCAGAGATTTGAACATCTCTACCTGTAGGTCCTGAGAGGTGTGGTCTTGTTATTTAAACAATTCTTATCAAAATAACTCAACTTAACTTACCAAGAAGTGACCGAGCGTGACCTGATAGGTAGCGTGCTCTGACTATGAATCCGAGAGTTTTGATTTGGGTTCCGTTGCCGCAGAAACGCTCTCCTCAATTTGGGACCGCGGAAGCGTTATAAGACTGATGGTCAGGTTCTACTGTTCGATCAGGCAAAAGTAGTCCAAGATTCGGTAGTAGATACTGTTGGCTGCTGCCTTTCCTCTGGTCTATCGGTTCAAAATAAGGAACAGCTATGTGTAACTTATCCAGATCAGCCAGATTTAACTAAAAATAAATAATTTTGTTTGTCTTGTTAAACGTAAACAAATTTCCTTTTCTGTTGAATCTTTTGTAAGCCTGCTTACGTGGTCCGTTGTCATACGTACATCAAGGCTAGAGTAAAGCCTCTACATGTTCATTTTATATCAAAGACGCGTAAAATATGGTTACCAAAACTGTTTTCTGCATAACAGAGTCGTTATGAAAAAAAGGCAGTTTTAAGGGAGATACCAGCGATTGAGCTGACATCTTTATAACAATTATAAGTCAAGTTTTTTGTTTTATGTAATAACTAGCAGAGACTTGCAAAACATTTACGGCTAAATTAGTATCGTTATTGCAACAGTACCTTTTTAAATACAGGATTTCTAAAGTAATATAAAAAAATTCTAATCGCAGACACTGAAAATTATAAGTCCACTTGTCTTAGTCCTAACATTAGTTAAGCCTTTATTAAGTACGGCCTATATTCGATAAAGAGAAAAATTAAAACTATAATTTGTGTACGTTTTTTGCTTTAGTTCAGTCAGGGCTAAACTTTACCGCACTTAATACTATCAATAAATAATCTTCTAATATTATTCTACGATCTAACGTTAAACCTTTTTAAAAATTTTGATAAGTTAATAATATGTCGAAAAAATGTCAACTAAAGTATATTTACGTCCTTTCTGGCGTACTCGATGATTTAACAAAGATACGTTTTCAAATTGCGAAAAAAAAGACAGACACGTATACACTGTGTTTTATAGTATTAGATTATTTTAACTATTTTTTTATTAACCATGTTGTGATGCTTTCTGATTATTTTGTCAGTGGATTATGTTTCGAATGTTAAAGAACAAAAGAACAACCCGCATAATAAACTTTCATAAACAGCGTTTCGTTCTCAACAAAACTTCATAAAAAAATAATTGTAAAATTAATATAAATCTGTCAAAACAATGTATCTAAGGGTCAAATTACGTAATATTTCTTAATGATAACATTTTACAAAATTTGTCTTTTGTGTTTACGAAAGTATTCCAAAAATAAATAAAAAAAGAGGTTTGTCAATTTTTCAAAAGATTAATATAAAATTTACTCCCAAGGTTTGTTTGTTTTTAATCATGCACAAAGCTACACAAGGGTTATCTGTGCTCTGCCCACCACGGGTATCGAAACCCGGTTTCTAGTGTTGTAAGTCCATAGATATATCACTGTGCCACTGGGGGGCTACTCCCAAGGCCTGGATTGTTTAATAAGAATTTACGTGAGGTAATATCACAACAACCATTGTATTTAAAACAATAAACAATGCTTCTCAAATTACGAGAATAATTAGAATCAGCATGGAATGAAAACATCACATTTAGATTTTTACGATTACTTTTACCTGGTTTTAATTACTATTTTTTACAGATATCTCAAATATTTCTACTAAACTGGAAAAATTCCCTCTTGAAGTTTAGATAAAACGTTTTGGTTTGTAACCGGAATAATAGTCGCTTAGGGTGTAAGTTCTTGCACGTGTTAAGTATTAATTTTTGCTGTAAGTCCGTTTGTAAATACCAAAGGTAATTATTCTTATTTCTCTTACTTCAAAAGTTGGTGGACAAAATAATGTGTTATATTGGAGTTTCTATCAACAATATTTAATGAATTGTAATAATGAAGAAGAACGTATTTTTGATAATTCACTAGACATTGCTCTGTTATTTTTTCTGATACCAAATATTTCAAGTTTTCAGCAAGTTAATTAGGAATATTCAATTATTTCTATAGAGAGCGATAAAAAAAAATTAAGAAAATTATGGGTATTTGTAGAACTCTACTGTATAGTTGTTACAATTTTAAAATGGCCCTGCATGGCCAGGTGGTTAGAGCACTTGACTCGCAATCTGAGGATCGCGGGTTCGAATCCCCGTCCCACCAAACATGCTTGCCCTTTCAGCCGTGGGGGCGTTATAATGTGACGGTCAATCCTACTATTCGTTGGTAAAAGAGTAGCCCAAGGGTTGGCGGTGGGTGGTGATGACTAGCTGCCTTCCCTCTAGTCTTACACTGCTAAATTAGGGACGGCTAGCGAAGATAGCCCTCGTGTAGCTTTGCGCGAAATTCAAAAACAAACAAACAAACAATTTCAAAACTTTCAATTCTCTCACCCAAAACATTTAACAAATGTTTAGGAAGTTTATTATCATTAACGCACGCTATTCATTCCAGATCTCAAAATAGTTATTAAAAGCCCACTATAATTAAACTTAATCTCCACTAGAGGGGAGATATTAATATCCCTGAACACCCCAGTTTGAGGAAAGTTTTTTCTTTTTAAAACTAAACACCTGTCACGAATTTTTCTTTTTTTTATTTAAACAGTCCTGGAAAATCTGTTCCAAGGATACATTACAATTTAGAACAAATATTTCAAAAGTTCTTGGTGAGAAATCAAATCGATCAAGTCTCTAAAGCTTTATCAGAAAGCTGTTGATAAACCCAATTATTAAACTGGAAATAAGCAGTCAATTAGAATCATATTCAGACCCTATAAAATAAGATCACTAGAATATTTGGGATGCGGCAACTCCAGAAAGAATTATAAAATAAACTTAACAGGTTCTAAGCCAAAATCAGTTATCAGACGAAACTTTCTTTATTATATCAGATATAGCTAAATGATTATCAAAAGTAATTTCCTGCGTTAAGTTAAACGTTGGCAAATAATTTTGCTAGTTAGGTAAACGTAACCAAATTATTACCGTTGGTGTATTTCCTAGGAAACCTTTATTGTATCTAATATTGTTAGTTTTAGTTAGGGCAAAGTAACGATGGGCTAGTTGTGTTCTGGCCTCCGCGGGGAATCGAATCGCGGATTTTAACATTGGAAGCCCGTAAACTTAGCGCTCATCCACCGGGAAGCAACGATATTAGAAACATTTTACATAATATTTTCAAAAAATTTCGACTTTCCAGTGACTTTCTTAGAGTTATGAAGTATCTAGGTTTGTTTGTTTAATTTCGTACAAAACTAGATGAGGGCTATCTGCGAAAGCTGGCCCTAATTTAGCAGTGTAAGACTAGAGGGAAGGCAACTAGTCAACACCACGCACCGCCAACTCTTCGACTACTCTTTTACCAACGAATAGTTGGATTAACCGTAACATTGTTACGCCCCCGCGGCCGAAAGGGCGATAATGTTCGGTGACGTGTTTCGAATCCGCGGCTCTCAGATTGCGAGTCGAGCGCCCTAACCACCACGCCATGCCAGATCTTGAAGTAGGTTTCAACCATAAAAAAATATAGTATATTGCTTGGAGACGGCTTGAATGGGTAATGAAGAAAAACTTTAATATAAGTTTAAACATATCGGCAAATGTACAACGTTTCGAGAACGTTTTGTCAAGTATGGAACAAAAAGGTCACATGACCGGATACTGTTGCACGAATTAGAAGAGATATCTTGGCACCCCAGGGTGTTGGTTTAGAGTAGGGTTGTTTTGTTCAATTAAGATGGATTCCTTGATTTTGCGTTTGTTTATGTTTGGTTCTTTGTTTAAAATTACTATGTTTTAAATAGATATACTATGTTTTCTTTTAGTTGCAACGGTGGAAAACATGGGACGGTTTTTTATTGTGTTCTGGGAATCTGTTTCTGTTTCTCCGATGTATAATCCACTTCATTTTCCTGAAAAATCCAAGACAATCTTTTAGATAAGTAATGGCATTGTTCAGTTTCATTGATAACACTTATTAATAATAATTTTCGATAATTCTGCTAATCATTTAAGTTTTCAAAAACCAGAAAATGAGAGTGCTAGAATCTTCTAACAATCACAATACCACCTTTCTAATTGTTTTCTTGAAAATAAAGTAAAACACCTTAACAACTGTAAACGTTTCTATATATTTTCCAAGTAAAGGTTATCGTAATTTCATAAATAGAGAACTATTCAATACACCTAATATCCTAATATTCGAGATAAAAATCACTTTAAGCTCTAGATGCTTTTTCCATACTTCTCTTAATTAGTCTATTACGGATTTCAAACCAAAGTCTTGTAAAAATAGCGGTTGTTCTCCCCTATTCGCTGCCCAAGAGACATTTTGCACCAATATCAAAACTTGTTAGTTGGACTAGTCGTGATTACAAAAGTACATCCATAGCGTTATTTTATAAGCAGTACGAAACATTTGATTTTGCAACCTAATATTATTTCATCATGAATATTAGACCTAATGATAACATTGTTTTGATCTTTTAACGCCATAACAGAGAACTTTTCAGTTTTATTACATACAACATGACACACACGTTTCTTCTCTGGGGTAAGTTAAGATTAGATTTCGACTTCACTAAAGGCTCACCTTGAAAATCTAATCTATAAAAATTTTGCTGAGTTGTAATTTTCTAGCTTAAAAACGGGGATAGAATTTAAAACAGTCTTAAATAATTGCATTTCATAGTTTCAATTTGCAGTAGTGCTAGAAACTCAGAACATTCACGATATGATTTGTTAATATATTTTGTAATATAGGATGATTCTTTCCAGATGTTCATTTCAATTCATTGTGATGTAGTCACATATGATACATTTTATCTATTATCTCGCCCCCCTGTGGCACAGCGGTATGTCGATACCCGTGATGGGCAGAGCACAGATAGCCCATTGTGTAGCTTTGTGCTTAAATACAAACAAACAAAAGCTATTGTCTCTAAAGTGTTGGTATTTTCTTTTATTGTGTTTTTGTTCTTCTTTCAGAATTTTCTGTAACGAAATGGTTATTGTTATTGAACAGAATATGTCTTGGAGTTTCTATTAATTTCAGATTCATCTTAAAATCCCTCCTGGGATTCTTTTCTATGTTATCGTTTGCGTTCCTTGTCTAGTGAATTATTTTTTTCCTTTTCAGAACTTTTTTGTTTCGTAAACCACACTAACTTTATTTTCCAAACTTTACTTACTTATATTTTATTCTTCCTAACATTAACAATCCAGTATCTAACGGAGGCAAAAAGAAAAGCAACAAACGAATAACTCCCTTGTTATATCTCCATAACTTAAAACAGTTTATCATTTCAATCGTTTTCAGTGTTATTTTACCTTATAACTACCCCACTTTACTGACATTTAAATTTACTTTCACGAACTCAGTTTCAAATACTTTACTAATGTCCTGCTCTTCACGAGATACACTATTGGTAGGGTTTCTTAGCTCGTAACAAACAACAGGTTGTTCTTTGTATGAACCATTTCCATATAAATTGCCCAAACCTTTAGCATTTATATTCTTCCAAAGCATATTTCCTTTGAAGTACTTAAATAGAATAATCAAATTATTCGAGTGTATGATATTTTTGTAAAGGTTTCTATTGCTAGTCGGACCCTTTTGGTTTACTTGGTAAACAAAATATATTTATATATATATAGTGCAAAGTGCAGAATACTTAACGATAACGAAGGCGTTTTATTTCTTCGAATACAAAATCCACAAGTTCATGATTTTATTTTTACTTAAATTACCTAGTGTTTATTGAACGATATGTCTAAATCAATAATTTCATTTACTTGTTAATTTTTTATTTCTATTACTGTGTCTCAAACACAACTAAAAGTTTGCAAAAGCGAAATTAGTAACTCTTTCACAGTAAGTTACAAGCTCACTTTCATTGACTACCTAACTGGCTGACTCAAGAATCAACAAGTTGTCTACTCTAGCATAAGTGCATTTTGTACTGCTCAACTCGTTTCCTAAACTTTCAAGAAGGACCTAGTCATTAAGCCATGCTCACCAAAGTACATCAAACATCTCTCTAGCCAAACAATAATACAAACGTGTAAATTAAAACCACGGTCTAAAACAATGTCATTAAGAGGTAAGAGTTGAAAGTGAAATCCTCAGTCTATACACATTTCCTTTAGAGCAATAGCGTTTACTAAATTACACAAGATTTTCATAAATCAGCTTTCTTGACTATTAAGATTAAAAGAACAATAGCAGGAAATATCATTCGGCTAGTTTCTTAATGGTCTCCTGAGATTGTATGAAAATTCACGTACAACATCATTAATTTTTTTAAATAAGATCCTCATTATTTAGTTCCTTTTAATTTTTTTTTGTTTTTTTCATGTTAATTCGCAAAAAAAAACGTAGTAATATAAATAAACCCAATACACGTAACAGGAAGATGTAAGAAAAGTAGTCCTGCTTTGGATTACACTCGATGCAACAAAATATTATTTCTTAGGTACTTTCATATTGAGAAATCTTATGTTCCTTTAAATACCCCTTGAGCTCAGAGATCTTGATCAGCATCGGATCAATAATATTTATTTACTATGATTCGAACGATTAGAAGCTCTATATCAGAAAAGCAACAAATTCTGCTGTTAAACGTGACTTCCTAGGAAATTATCTTTATTCGATCGCAGTGATTTGTGTAACAAAATTTATGTTTATTTCTTGATAAATTCTTCTTTTTATGTTTCAGGTTGCGAGTTTTATGGGAGTATGTGTGGACTATTCGGATTAATATCCATCACTACACTTTCTGCTATCGCTCTGGAGCGTTGCCTGGTGATAGCGATAAAACCCTGGTACTCTGGCCTCCACATTAATAACAGTAAACTTTGTAAAATAGTTGCGTTTATTTGGTTGTACTCAAGTGTGTGCGTGGCACCTCCGCTTTTTGGGTGGGGAAGCTATATACCGGAGGGTTTTTTAACTAGCTGCTCATTCGATTATTTAACACGCACCCCAGTTAATCGAGCTTACTTCGTTTTCTTGTACATCCTTGGATTTTTTTTACCCCTTCTTGTAATTCTTACAAGCTATTTTATTATCTGGAAAGCCGTTTTTCATCACGAACAAGAGATGTCCCAGATACATGTTAACAGGGCAACATCGAGATATATAACAAGAAGAAGAAGCGACTGTAAGTCTGCTGAGATGATACTCTGCATAATAGGATTATTCTTGTTGTCATGGACACCGTATGCTATTGTAGCGACGATTGGTCAGTTTTGGGATACTAATGTCGTCACTCCTTGGGTCTCTGCTATACCTTCTTTCTTTGCCAAAATGTCTACTGTTTATAATCCAATAATTTATGGATTTTCTCATCGTGAATTCTGCGCCTGCACTCGTCATTTATTCACCAGAACTCAAACGCCCGCTTTGAGGGAGAAAATTTACTCTAGATATTCACAGAACACACCCAGGCATGAAAAACAAACGCGTTTGTCAAGGGCAAGTGGTGTTGAAAAACTAAATAATGATGTCAAACAACAACCAGAACTCAAAAACAAATTCAGAAAATGTTATATTGTCATGTCTTTCCTTCAAGAAGGCAGATCCATGAAAACAGTGTCACTGAACCAGAAGTAGTACGTTCCAAAAGAAAAAAAAATGAATATACATTGGATTTATCTCTCCCTAATTATCATTGTGCGAAATAATTTGACCACGAGAATTAATTTTGTTGCAATGGCCACCGTCGTTGTACAGGTTTTGAAATTATTACCTACTGCTCCTAGTTTAAGGTATAACTTGAAATAAATATTTCATCTTTGGTTTCTAATAGAAACGGGATGAGTTGTTACCCTTGCAACCAACACCAAGAACATATGAAACTTAAAACGCATTGACTCAGAATTTTTAGTAATGACGATTAATTATATGGTTTTATCCTACTGTGTGGGTCATATATACTGAAATTACATCATTTTGCTTAAGACACGTAATCTCTCTGATGGCTAGGAAGAAGTCATTTTGATTATTTTATCTCAATTATAAGCAGTATGCTGTTAGTGGGTTTGTATTACACGTTAATGATGTTTAGTAATAAGTTTTTAAACTAAATTCCAAGCAATGTTCTTTTAGTTGTTTCACAAGAGTGGCCATGCAGAGCTTAACTATAAAGACTTTTTTTTTCAAAAAGAGCCTTTTCATAAATGGACTAAATGGTCTGAAACGCCACTGTTTATGTGCTGTTAAAGAATAATTGAACAGTAAATGTATTAATGCGGCACAATCTTGATTTCATTATTTTTGAGATTATTATTGCTTCAAACACACACATTTTTAGGTATATGATTAAACTAAGTAACTGACAGTAAATTAATATAGAAATCCTATAATAAAACTCAAACTGAAGATCTTAATAACTTTTAACTCTTGATATTATTATTTGTGGACATATATATCTAGTCTTGTTTTGAAGTTTCAACAATAATAACAACAACAAAAAACACATTCACAAACTGATTTGTCAACTGCAGCTTGTTTGTGGAACACATTAACTTTCTAAGTCTCCAAAAGTGGCAATACGATGGTGAGATATAGTCATAAATTTCAAGGTTTTGATATTAACTACGTTTAATTAATCACAAGTACAACTTTCCTTTATTTGTCTTACACCGCTAGAAACCGGGTTTCGATACCCGTGATGGGCAGAGCACAGATAGCCCATTGTGTAGCTTTGGGCTTAACTACAAACAAACCTATATTTGTCATTGCAATTAACTTAAGTTAACTTAAGTACATCCTCTAAAAAATATTCGGACTTGTTGTATGCTGTCAATTTTTTTTATTTGATATATTTGTGTTTCCCGATGTAATAAGTGATATCATATTAAGATATAAGATTTTCAAAAATACACGATATTAAGTATAACTCGGTAGCTTTATGTTAATTATTAAGGGTCAAAGGTTACCCTAAATATTGTCAGGTACATTAATACATATTTTCATTATTATCTCAAAAGCTACAACACGTACCAAATCCAACTTTTCAGACTTATTTAAGAAGAACTTATTTTAACGTCTTATGAGTTTACGTAAAAAATATGCTAAATGATTGCATAACTAATTAGGGACAAAATGTGATTTTTACATAAAAATCGACAGCTTAAAAAAATATATGTGACTTATTCCATATTACATGGATAATTGTAAATTTTGTATCGTATAAATGGCATAGAAATCTAGTTTACAAAAATACATAGCATTGATATGTAAAGAGCTTATTACATATCGAAGAGCCATAGATCAAAGGTCACCGTTTATTACAGATGCATTACGAACTCATTTTGGAACTATTTGACCAGTATCTAAAAATTTACAATTTATACTTACTATACGTTTTGAATGATATATCATATAGGAACTTCTTTTAATAACTTATAAATGTAAAGGAAAATATAAATTGCTAATATACAGCCCCCCCCGGTGGCACAGTGGTATGTGTGTGAACCTACAACGCTAGAATCCGGGATTCGATTCCCGTGGTGGGCAGAGCACAGATAGCCCTTTGTGTAGCTTTGTGCTTAATTACAAACATCAACAAACAACAACAGTCCCAATTCAGGTTTGCGGTTCTAAAAATCACATAGTTTTAAAGCGTTTTTCTTAATCCATGTTTACCACTGTTGTAAAGGGAGCTGGGGTAAGACAGCGGGCCACCTTAACGTTAAATGCGGTCTCCACCAGTTAAAATGAATGTCATGAAAAAAGCGAAAGGTTTTAAAATGAACACCGTTTTATTATACATGACATTTCTAGTCTTCTTTTTTTAAAAAAAAGGTTGGCTACAACTCTCTTTTAAATATTCAAAAAATCATTCTTTGTAGTTGAGAGCCGTTTTACCTATAAGGTTGGATAAAACGGACCCTCAAGATAGGATAAAATAGCTCAGATGTAATTCAAAATAAGAACAATTTTAAAAAATGCTGCATTTAGGAACTGCAATTAAATAAATGAATTGTTCGTAATGTAAATGACCCCAACACAAACCTCTAATGCCAAGGGTCATGCCAGTTATCTATAATAATGATGCAACAGAACGAGAATTATAAACAGGAACACAATACTTAAAGGGGACTAGGGTGGTGAACAATAATTACATATAATTTAGTTAAAATTTAGCATGACACCATGTGAACAATAGCACGTCATAAAAGGATGTTATATAGCCTTACCTCCCTTTCCTTAACATAATCTCACTAACAGATGATCCATTATGTGTATGTGTTACCATTCACCATTCAGAGTTGGATGGCTAGATTACAGATATTTTAGTAGATAACTGGAAACTGTTTGACAGTGTACATGAAATATTTTGTTCAAGGGGTTTTGTTCGAGAAGAGGGATAAAATCGCCTGAAATAGAGCACATTTACACCTTTTTTTGTTTTTTTTTTACTGACAATATAAAGTTAGATCACATAATATATGGGTACAAGTATGTGATATTCCATCATATTTGATGTTATATGTGAAATGTGTATTATTTGTTTTCATAACGATAAGCCTGTATCTGGATGGTGTTTGTAAAGACTAATTTTATCCATTGGCATGTCAGGCACACAACATAACTCGCTAAGGTCTAAAATAGGCCTCCAGCTGGACGCTTAACAATCGGTGAATATTTTAAGACTTAAAATAGCATAAATATTTGCTTGGATGAAACATGTAATAACAATACTGCTGCAGTGAGATGGTGATGACGTCAGGGCTGTAGATATTACTTATTTGCTACTTGTGATTAAAAATTCTTTGTTCTAGACCGAAGTTATAACACTTGTAGTAGATTTTTTGAAAAAAATGAAGTAGTTAAAATCGATGTTTACTTTCATGTAAACCTGGAGCCTCATCTGATCTCATTATTAGACTAACTAATAAGACTGCAATAGCAAGGTGTCTGAGCATTTGTATGTAGTGTCATTATTTTAAACTTAAAGCATCTTAATTTTAATTTTAAAAAAGTAAGAAGTGATACGTGAAATCATTTCTCAGCTTTTGGCTGGTTTTCCTGTTTTATAACACATTATTCTTGATTTTCATTTGTAAACAAGAAATCTGTACATTCTCTAAGAGTTTTATTAGAAGTATGATTTTCATAAAACCAATTAAGACCATCTCTGGACTTGCTCAAAATAAATATTTGTTTATGTTTAAAGATTTGATAGTATAAGATGCATCTTAAATTTTCACGTGAAAACGTTTAGAAGTTTAAATTTATTTTTCGAAAACAAACATTTTAATTTTTATTTCCATTCTGAAATTAAGCATTCTTGCTGGCATGAAGTATGTTAAAATGTTCATCACAAGAAATGTGAAGTTAAAATCCAAAGAGTTGCTTGTTAACGTGTAGTACGTTAAAACGTTAATCACAAAAGTTGGGAAGTTACGATCCAAAGTCAGTCTTGGGAGAGCTCCAAAGTTTAGTAAACTTCCAAGAAAACATTTTTTATTAGCCATAAAGAAAATGCAGTCACTTTGTGGCTAAACCGGGATTTAGACACAGAAATATTATATTTTGATAGTCTTTTTAATTTAATATAGCTCAAGTTATTGAGGACCTCACTTAAAGAAAGAATATTGATGGGTAAAAATATAACAACATTTAAAGTGTCGTTTTTGTGGGCTTTTCAACACAACAAAAAATATGGTGGATGCATCATAAAAAACTAATATTCAGGCAAGGTTAACCTTTCAAAACACATAGAGGTTCTGAAAACGAATTTTATCAAAAACAAGCCACAAGAAAGTCGAAATGATAAAATATTGAATGGCATGGTTATACCAAAAAACATTTGGGTTGGAACCTTATTTATTAGAGAGTAAATCTTATGGAGCAGAACGTCTTTACTAGCGGAGCGTGACATTTAATAGTAATATGTCCCTTCCTAACAAAGAAACTCACAAATCCAGTTAAGATACAACTGTACCCAAACTTACTATATACTCGTGTCTTCCCTACACTGGAAAACAAAGCTTAACTTTAAAAAAACAACTTAAACACATACTTTGTCATTACTACCCTCAAGTGGATTTCAGGTTAGTTTTTAAATCCACATCACGCATACACAATTTTTTCCCTACTAAAGATCTCTTTCCCATTCCTTATTGTTCCTAGCTTGTCTATCTTTACATGTTTGGAGAATGTAAGGCCTCCTATATTGGCAAAACCAAACGCCATTTAAAAGTCAGAGCCTAAGAACATATGGGAATTTCCATCAAAACGCAAAAAAAATTGAGTAGCCCCTGTGTTTCCTCTATACCTCCAACATAGTGAAGAAGCAGGACATCGACCTACGCTATCAACTTTTTCTATCCTCTGCAAGTCTAATAGTGATCTGGAATTATTGATTAAAGAAACCCTGTACATCAAACAGCATTCTCCAACACTGAACAACATGCAGTCTTCATTTAAATTATACATTTTTTAATATGTTCGTATTACTGGTTTTACTTTTTTTTGTATTTTCTTGCTGTAGTTTCTCCTCGTGATTACTGTTTTGTGTATTATTTGTTTAATTATCATTATATTTAGCATCTGTACTTTAGCAATGTCCAAAGACTTATGTAAATTCATTTAATTTTGCTTTAGATACTGAAGATGGAATCTGATAGAATTCCGAAACGTTTATCTATGTTCTCTTTTTGTTAATAAACAATGTTGTATATCATAAGTGTCGTAATCTTGTTTAATATATGGGTATTGTTAC